TTTGAGAAAAATGCCAAAGAGTACTTTTAGGCAACAACATGTGTAAAATCCAGAGAGATGGAAGAGCATGGTGTATCAGGTGAAATACCAATCGGTTATTGCTGGAACGTAGGGGATATGCAGCATTGTCCGGTGATGCAGATGAGAAGTTAGTAACCAAGGAACTATAAAGGGTATTATAAGATCCATTACATTCAGAAGGCAAGAGAGACACATGGAAGAGCTTTGAGCAGGTAAATAGTAAGATTTGCATTTTGGAAAGACGATATGTTGCTTCACCATGGCAAATGGCTCATACAGGGACAAGACGAGACTGGGAAAGAGGCTAGGACACTGTTTCAGCAATCAGTATTGGAGACAGAGAAGTGTGTGGATAGGAGAGGAATTCAGACAGTTGGTGATTAAAAGTGAGTGGGAGGAGTTGCAGATGGTAAGATTTCTGGCCAAGACACCTGGTAGTGAAATATGTTCAGAATGAGGGGAAGATGTTGAACTCAGTTGAGGACATGATGAATTTAAAAAGACTGGGAACGTATCCAAAACTCTGAGCATCATCAACCTAAAAATGGCCAAACAGAGCATAATAGACATCAAGGCAGTAGCTGGCATCACCCACCAAGAGCGTGTGCAGTGAAAAGAGAACAGAAGCCTGGGGAACACACTAACAGGTAAGGGACTGAAAAAGTGATTTCAAGAGTAAAGACTTTATGTACACTGGACGGAGTGGGTGGCCCACACACTGTTTCTAGGAAGCAAAAGGTCAAAGCCAATGCACTTCAAGGTCCCCAGTTCCTGTAAGCACAGCTGGGTTTCAGGGGAGAAACAAGCATAGGCTCATTTGTTGAACAACTTTTAGTAGTCTAGTTTAATGAGGCTGTAGAAACTTCCTGTGGGTGGATGGAGTAAAAAGCAGCTATACAGGAGTGGGAGGGGAGATTGAGGAACGTAGTTTTCCTTATTTAGGAAGGAAAGCAAAGGCATAACCAAGTTAGGGTCTTTTTAGTCAGAGC